GGATTTATATATTTCTGCAGCAAGTTCATTTATAAAAAAAGATGAAAGAATTGGGCTTACAATGCAGCCTTGACTTACTCCAGAACTTGTTGAGAAGATATCAGTTTTACAGTTACCAATCTTTACACAAGATTTTACAGATGAATACATATTATGAAGAAGATTGTATAATTGACCATGGCAACCCGACTTGAGTAACAAATATAGAAGTTTGGCTCTATCGACATAGTCGAATGCCTTTTTAAAATCTATGAAAGCACAGAAGAATCGCCCCTTAGGCTTTGAAAGATATTTGGATCATAAAGTCTGAAGGGTAAATATATTATCTGTAGTAGCATATTCGTGCCTGAAACAAGCTTGTGCTTCTGTTAAAATATCATTCAAGTCTATCCCCAGACGGAGGCGTTTATCCAGTATTGATGTAAATATTTTCCCTGAAACATTTAGGAGTGATATCCCTCTATAGTTGTTTGGATCGGTTGCACAACCTGACTTTAATAGAGGTATGGTTAGTGCAGAGTTCCAGGAATCTGGAAATATTCCAGAGGCTAATACTGAGTTAAATAGTGGCTTGAGGAAGGCAAGTAACGTCGATTGTCCAGTCTTGAAAAATTCTGGAGGAATTCCATCTTCACCAGGGGATTTACCAGTTTTCAGTTTCTTAATAGCCTCTGTGATTTCAGGTTCAGAAATATTATCAGACAACAATTGATCTATACCTGAGAAGTTCACACACTCATCACAATAATGGTTAGTTATGAAATGAGAAACATGTTGATCAAAGTCGCCATCTGCTTGCAGTTTAGATGGGTTTAAGAGATCCTTAAAATGTAACTGTAGAGTATCTGATGTTATTGGACATCCTTTGTTTTTATTCCGTAGTGAGCTGTTTAAACTGTTCCAAAATGTTTTACAGTCACCATACTTAGCAGCTCGACACAGATCGTCTGCTAAACGTTTTTCCAAATTGTCCCTTTTCATAACACATATTTTGTTTTAATTTAGCTTTAGACTCCACATACTTATCAAGGTTTTCCTTACACTCACATCTTCAAAATAAGTTCAAACTTCTGTATTTCTCTTTTTTAAGTTCCGCACATTCATTATCAAACCATAATGGTTGTGTTCTAGTACTCTTCATTTCTGGCACACAAAATTCCCCGGCTGCACATGCACATGTAATAAGAAAATCATTCAGTTTTAATACAGCAAGATTTATATCCGTCTGTAACATAGCAAGAAAAGTCGTCCTGTGCACTAGGTGATCGCAGAAGTTCTTTGTAAGTAGATGAAGCTGGTTCTGGTAACCTATATCTGGGAACAATAGTTAGATTTGTACTACTTTTGGGTGCTGAAACGTCATTGAATACTGTCGATAGAGTACACAATACCGGCATATGGTCAGATTCAACACGGTCACATATCTTTAGATCTACAACCTTGTGGAATAATTGACTAGAGACTAGGAAATAGTCTACTATACATGTTCCCATATGAGAAATAAATGTGAGTTTACTGGGTGTGTCAGACTCAGTACGTCCATTTACTATATGTACATTAAATAATTTACGGAGGGCCAATAGCTGTGTTCCGTATACGTTTATATCCGAATCATAGGATTATCTGGGTACACTGAAAGAGTCAGCTTTGTAATCATCTGGTAGAGGTAGGTATTCTGGGTTGTCATCAGTAATGAAGTCGTCCATGTTACTTGTCCGAGCGTTGTAGTCGCCACTAAGTATAAATAGAGAAGCGTCACTAAAACCGTTGCTTATTCTGGAGAGTTTTTTCTCAATGAAGTCAATACCGTTTTCCTCTGCACCATTATAGAATGGTGATTTGTGAGGGTGGACATATAGAAATCCAAGGAAAATATGTTCAACAGTAGAATCAGTGAGAACTTTTAGGAACACACAGTTTTGCCACTTGTCATAGACCCTTATACATGATGATGCTAACTATTTTTTAACACACACAACAATACCACCAGAATGTCTACCATACTTTGATAGCTTAATAGGATCACAGATAAAACATTTATAATCAGTAAACAGTGCATGTATATCAATTGGATCAATACACCAATCGCGGTTCTGAACACGCCTCTGGTTTATATGAAATTGTCGAAATTTAACTTCAGTTTCTTCCCAAGTTTCACCTCTTTTGTCATCTAGTCCATGTATTAATAAATTGTTGCGTCATGATTGTGGGGGCGGTGGGGTAGTCTAGTGGTTAAAGCGTTGGCTCGTCACGCCGAAAACCCGGGTTCGAATCCCCACATGGGTACAATGAGTGAAGCCCATTTCTGGTGTCCCCCGCCGTGATATTGCTGGAATATTGCTAAAAGCGGCGTAAAACCAAACTCAGTCAGTCAGTGCCTCCATGTTGTCCACCTTTCTGTCCATAGCCTGTATCTGTGACTTGAGATTTGCGTACTCATCTTCGAGCGACGACAGTTTGTTATTGTAGTCAATTGTTAACGACTCCAGCTTCCGGTCAAGGGAGGTAAGTTGCGCCTGGATAGCCGACAGCGTTTTAGCGAGGTCGCAGAGTGTTAACGCATCATCAGTTACCATTTCTCCTGGTATATTTTTCGTCGAGAGCCGTGTTTGGATCTGAGTAGAGTCTGTAACCTTTTTAGGCGGAACTGGATTTGTTTACACATCTCCAGCTATCGCCAGCAACGTAAATGACAGAATAGCGAGTCTCAGGCAGAGACGTATACCACCCGGCGTCCTTATAACACGGTTTATCAGGGTGCCCCGTCTCACTCGGGGAGAGAATGTTCCAATTCTCGCTCTCCATGCTTCAATGGATATAGACGTGATGCTGCCAGGGAAGTACACTACCTTATGCACAACAGGGATTTGGTTTTCCTAAGGAGTGATACTTCTTTCACCTCATTTTCACCATTTAATGCGAGAGCGATTTCGTGCGTGCCGCCCTCATTGACACCACTCACGTGATCTCTTCCCCTGTGTACTTCAAACACTGATGTATCTCCTGAAGGAACTGTGTGTGAGTGCTGTTCACTGTGCATGATAGGAAAGGTAAAAAACATTTACGTTAAGTAATTGGGCACACTTTACAGAACCCATGGTTGGAATCTTTTAATTATTGTTAATGTGCTTGAACTGTAAATTTGGCTAGTGGATAATAATTGACAGTTGAAGACTTGTATTGGGTTCTTTTATTACGATCGGGACTACCCCAATCTGCGTGCCCGGATTTTTAATCGTATTCGGGCCTTCACAACTAATGTTGACCAACTCATGCCGTATTTGTAAGAACACTGAATTTGACTTGACTTGTTTGCTCTATCCTCTGGTCATTCATTGTGTGGGATAAGACCGAGGCCGACAGATGGTCTTTAGCAAACAAGATGAGGGTCCTATTCCACACAATGGCTTGCAATCAGGGATAGGGCAAACAACTGAAAGCAATTTCAGTATTCTTACAAATACGGTATTAGTTGACATTAGTCGTGGACACGGTAATCAAAATTAATGATGAGCGGACAGAAAAAGTCCCAAAGTAAGATTTATAAAACCAGTGGCATATAATGAGCTTGCAGATTGAGGGGTAGTCCCCATCGTTGATATTTTCCCGTACGTCAACCACTATAACCCCTATTATCATCGTTTAGGGGACTGTTTCCTCTTTCATTTTTACCGTATATACTATTACGATGTTTTGTTTTACATTTTTGTAAAAGCTTTTGTGATTACGTACAAAAGTATTAACTTCTGCAATGGTGAGTGTCCTTGCCACGATATGTAAAAGCGACCATAGCCACGAGTGGGTTTAGTTTTACGCCGCACTCAGCAATATTCCAGCTATATGGTGGCGGTCTGTAAATAATCGAGTCTGGACCAGACAATCCAGTGACCACCAGCACGAGCATCGATCTGCGCAATTGTGAACCGATGACATGTGTCCACCTAGCCAGCGAGCCTGACCACCCGATCCCGTTAATCGCCTCATACAACTAGCATGGGTTACTGAAGATGAATTCTAGCCCGGACCTTTACGGGTCCATGGTCACGAACAGAGAGCGGGCTTGTTGTGTGATCACGCGAAGCCATTATATGAAGCCTCCAGATAGAACGTCTTCGCCTTTGCTGTATGTTCGTTTCAGTTTTCGAAATTGATTGACAGGACTTAAGTGTTACTTATTCTTATGGATACGATATTTGCATTAACGATGTTACGTTCAATCATATTCTGCAACGTTGTACCCACCAGTGAGAACTGCACTTCAACTCAATCCCAATATATTGTCAAGGGATGTAAGAGTCTGCTATGACCTTTAGTACTATCAACTAATGACGCCAGCCATTGTGTCGAAGACGAATTGCTTTTAGCATCCGTCTCATATAGTCAGCTTTTCGGTTATTTATGGGATCCTTTACAAAATTCACAAGTGGTTTTAACGGCAATGCGTTCACTTTTCGACCTATTCTTGTAATTGAGTCCCTAGTATGGTGATCTACCTTCAGTTGTTGGCGATCTATAGCAACTCTTTTTATATTGTATTGTCTTTCATAGTTACATTGTAAGATATTTCAAATTTTCGTACTAGTTTTACAATTATATTTGTGATATTCTAGTTATTTTACTGTCCTTCGCCGACAGGTTTTTATAATGATTTATATTATAACATTATAACTTGTTAATAGTCACGATATGGCTGAAATATTGCCGATGTCACTTAAAATCTTAACTCACTCACTCTTGTAATAGAACGGAGTGTTCTGTGGAAGTGCTTTCAGTTTCAGCTACAGCGTATGGTCATAACCCAAAGAAACTAAAGATAGAAGACGACCAAAGGCGTATTCTCACATGTCGAGTGAGTGAGTGAGATTTTAAGTCAGATCAACGGTATTTCATCCATAGCGTGACTTAATCAAGTTATAGTCCTTTCCAATAAGTTCTTATCTCCCCTTCCATGTGTTATCTCCCTTTATCAAGGACACTTCCGGAGATGTTTTCAGTTAAAAATGGCGTCGATAGCAGAGAAACAAGGCGGGAAAACTCAAGACGTGAATCTGAATTTTGATAAACTGAATGTGCGTGAACTTAAGACCTACTTACGGAATCACGGAGAACACGTTTCAGGGAATAAGTCTGACTTAATTTTGCGTGCCAAAGGTGTACGTGATCTTGGCAAACGATCGATTGAAGATGTCAATACATACGACGTGGTCAGCGTGAGACAAAGACGATTGAGAAGTTTCTGTCACCTCTCGGGGAACTTTTACCAGACCCACTACGCTTGAAAAATGGCTGGGATAGCAGTGTTGAGCTTATGCCATCATTTAGTTCAAGTGATCTGTATAATTATTTGGTTTTGAGCAAGCAGCGGACACTAGACACTGACCCAAACAACGCTAAACGCCAGTTGAAAGCTAAAGTGTACTATGAAGATAGACACGTTCATTCAGTCCGATATCACCACATATCCGCAGACTGTTCTCATTGTTATGTCAATGCCAAAGTGATTCCTTCCATACCAACTCAGAATATGAAACAGAAACCAGATTATGATGTGTGGGTGTCCTTGTCAAAGGTTACAGGCCGGGTACATGCTGCTGGTTGCAACTGCACTGCCGGGTAAGTAGATCTAATAAATTACCGATAATCATATTATCTGGCAGATCTAAAGTATGAATTCCATTTACTGAAAACAAACTATACTTGTGTATATACGATTGTGATGATTGTTCTGGACTTGATTCAACTTTGAATGTACAACCAAATAACGTTTGAGCGTTCGTTGTTGGCATAGGTAATACAGATGTGTTCCATTTATGTGTGCGGGACCGTATCAAAGTAAAGCGTATGCCTACAGTGTATTGTTTTACCTCATTTGATATGGAATTAGGTGGTTTTTTTGTACATTTTCAATTTGACATTCAGTGAACAATTTATCTGTTTCAGTGAAGGAGAATCTTGCAACCATGTCGCTGCTGTCCTGTATGCTTTGGTTGACATCTCAGAAAAGAAACTTGAGGGATTACATGCATCTACTTCACAGGAATGCAAATGGAACCAGCCACGAAAACGTAAATTGAGTCCTGTTAAATCACAAGATATGACATTCACAAAACACAAGTGGATAGAACATAAAAAGACAACAACTATAAGGCAAGATGCTACTAATGCTCCTGATAAATCGATGGTTAAACCCATAAATGTGGACAGATTTGCTCCCAAAACTCTGTGAACATTTTCCACATGCAGGGTGGTTACTGACTCAAGAGTCTGTTGTCAGTATGACTGAGGAATCCCATGTATCAGTACCTCCCCTCCATTCAGTTGATTTCAACTATGCAGACACCTGTGATTTGAAAAATGAAGATTGTATCAGGTATTTTTCAGAGTATTTCAGTGCCTTGTCCATCTCAAAAGAAGATTGTGTAACAATTGAGAAGAACACACGTGGACAATCCAACAATATCATGTGGAGCTCAGCAAGGGAAGGGCGATTAACCTCTTCCAATTTTGGCCTTGTCTGTAAACTGAAAACATCAACATGCCTTGATAATGCTGTAAAGACCATTTTTGCATATTCACCATTTGATAATGATGCTCTGAGATGGGGACGTACTCATGAGTCGGCTGCAAGGAGAAAATAAGCAAATCTGATGAAGAAACATGACGTGAATGCAAAGGTTGTTACATGTGGTTTCATGGTGCATCAGGACTATCCTCATCTTGGATCCAGTCCTGATGGTGTTTTTCACATTGGAAATGAAACTGGACTTCTTGAAATTAAGTGTCCTTACAAGTGGCGGCTTTCCACAGTACACCAGGCAGCGGAAGATCCTCAATTCTGTTCTTCGCTCAAGGAAGGAGAAATTAAATTGAAAGTTGGCCACACATACTATTACCAAATACAAGGACAAATGGCTCTATCCCAAATGAACTGGTGTGATTTTTTCATATGGACTCTGAAGGATTGTCATGTGGAAAGAATACACTTTGATTCAAGATTCTGGGAGGGCTGCCTCTCTCTACTGAATGACTTTTATATTAAAGCCATTCTGCCAGAGCTTTTCACAACTCGTGTGAAACGAGGAAAGCGTTTGCATCCTGTGTAAGGACATGAACGACTTTAAATGTACACATACACTATGTCCATTATATCATGTTAAAACCAGAGTACTGTGGTTGGTTTAGATTCTTTCCTTAGAACTACATGTATAGTGACTATTCACTTCAAACATTTTCATTCAAGCTTGACAAAATGTATGAATTGATAACACATACTATTGAAAGTTTCGTTCACTGAGTGGTTATATGTAAATTTTACTACTTATGTGAATTTTAGTTCTTAAGCTATTTCACATTTCAATAATAATGTAAACATTTTCCTGTCTGTTCCCCCAGGTCTTTGTTTGTGAAATACTTCATGATATCATTACTTGCAATGTCACTCAGTGAAATGATTACCATTACAAATGTTGAAGTAAGGGCTTTATGACATTAAAACGTATCTGTTATAAGTGAGTCTGTGTTTCATTTCTATTACCAACTGTTAATTTTAGTTATTGACAGTTGTAGAATTCAACTGTTCAATCCCTGGCTTGGAAAGCCAATCAATTAAGGGTTGTTACTTCAGTGTACATGCTCTTTCCCAGATGCTGGCACTGAAAGTGATGAAGAAATAACTTGTTTCCTAAGTAAGCTTAATGTGTCTTAGGTCAGTGTGTGAGTGAGTTATATATGTATGTTCAAGTGTCTCAGTGACTGACTGAGCTATTATTACTATTATTAATTAGATGGAAGTCCGACCTGATAAAAGCAGAAAGGCACACACAAGACCTATGGGTGCATGAAATGTTTACAACAGAAAAGTTATGTCCTAATACAGTAAGTAAGTGAGGGAAGGGTGCAATGCTAAAAAGCAGCCCATAATTCATCGGTATAAGCCAGAGCTCTCAATTTTCACATAGTACCAGGTGTGTCCTGTCGTAAATGTCAAATCAGAGATAACTGAAATGCTGTTGAAAAATGTAAAAGTCAGTTTTATTTACACCAATACATGAATCACATAGTATGAATCAATAGTTTAACCAGGAGACATTGGTAAGAATAACATGAACCGGACTAGTTACATAATCATGATTATAGATGCAAACTAATATTCCAGTGTTTAAATTAGAATTCCTTTGGACCACATCAAGTCCTTAGATATATTACATAAATACCAAAGCACAAATATATCAGTATAATAATACATATTCTGAACATCAATGTTATGGTCTGAATCAGACAGCTGATGGTTGAGTTTGGGTGATATACCTTAATAATAATAATAATAATAATAACTCATTTACATAGCACCTAGTATCCATCTCACTAGTTGCTCACTGGACGCTGTAATGTGAATCTGCTTATTACATTGCCCCAGATAACCCAAGCTGCCTGTGAGGCACTAGAAGTTTAATAGTCACATGACTTATCTCACCACCGGGTACCCATTTATTGCTGGGTTAACAGAGGCAATTTTGAACAAACTCACTTCCATAAGGTGAGACCACATGTGCCACAGGTGCTTCTTTGTGGGGAAGGACTAATGTCATAGAAACTCTCAGGACTCAACTTCCAAACACCATCATCCATCCAAGGACTCTGCACTTAACGTTGATTAACTTCAACTGATTTGTGACCTCAGTTATATACACAGGACCACACTACCTTGCACTGGATTTGGAAATACAAAGCACACAGCTCAACAGTGCAAGTTTATCAGTATTATTACTTCTTGCCAACAAGTGGAGGCTGAAGGTTTGTCAAGTGAACACACACTTTCCAAATTTTTGTGACTTTCTTTGCCAAAGTAATTGGAATGACCCCCTGTACAATCCTGAAATTCTTCACACGTTTAATTGCCATTTCAACGTAAATTCTTAAATTTGCAATGCGTCTTGTTTCTTCCACTTCTCTTCGTAAAAACCTTTTTGTCTTAAAAGGTGGGATGTGTAATTTCACTCCTAAGGGAGTAGTCAGATCAGAAATGGGAAATCCTTTATCAGCCATTATGGAATCCCCAGGTTCACACAGATGCAGCAAACCACACAATTTGGTAATCTGTTTATCACTGGTACTGCCACACCAAAGGTCAGATACAAACGTTATTACCCCAGCTGGACTAATACCAATCAACGATTTGTAAGTCATATGCGACTTATAATTGGAGTATAGGAGGGTCCCATTTGTCAGGGACTGTGGTGTTTCGGTAAATATTTCTGTACAGTCAATGATAACTCGGGTATCAGGGTATTTTCTAAATTTCTTTGGCATTGTTTTCTTAATGACAGTTTTTGACGGCCATACTGTCAAAGAAGACAGTTTTATACTTAAATAGTCTATCCACTTGTCAAAAATGATACTACATGTTGATTTTGAAACGCAAAATCTATCTGCCAAATCCTCCAGTAATAGTCCCAGTCTAAGCCTCATGAGAACTAAGAAAAACTCATCCACTAATCTTAAGTTGCGTGGACGACCTAATTCCGATTCACTTGAATACTTACTTCTAGTTGTATGCTCTATGGCATCATCCATCTCATCAAATAAGGCTTTAAACACTCCTTGGTTAGGGATTCCTGTGTAAAATGAGAATTTTTCACTGCAGGAGACATCTTCATATGTTAGCACAGGCTTGTTACACTGAATTTCCACATTAACCATTTTTGGCTTTGATATCGGAATTTCGATAGCATCATTCAATGTTTGTGTTGAAACAGTCATATAGAAACTATCCAAGATATCTGTCTGAGTGGATGCATCAATACCTACAGGATGAAAATCAGTCTGGTCACACTTGTTTACAAGCAGACTTGTGATATTATCTTCAATCTGTCCACAATAGTCATGCATGACGACTGAAGCTTCCACCCTTGATCCCGAGGACTTCAAATTAATCTGCTGATGGTCTGACACAGAATGCTCATTCCCGTTTCCACAGTCACCTGTTGGTTTGGCTGCCTCCCTTGGTATGGTACTCTCATCAGAGCCGTGTTCAAACTGAAAATTTCATAAATAAAAAGTTCATAATGACTGAGCCACACATCCTTACGAATGGTGTCCATTCTCATGACTAGCAAAAAAATTGGGAAAGTGTTCCGCATGTACCCCACTTTTGTACCTAGTACATATTTGCTCCAGGAGTCCTTCCACGGTGTATTATTCCAACACTGAAATAAGTTCACTGACTGTTTTTATACCTGTTCTAGTTTACTGAATTTATATTTAGGGTGAGGTATGCCTGTTAGTTTGTAATTTTGGTTTTTCATGGGGGTGGGGGGTACGGGCGGAACTCTTTCCGAAAATTGTGATGAATCTCCTTTCAGATCAGTCATGATCATTGCCAAATACATGTAGTTATATTCTCTGTCCGAAGGTTGACACTAAACATTATATAAAAAAATATAGAGAAATGAATGTTTCTCAAGTGTCCGAAAACACGAAAATTGAGAACGTGTGTGTAATGTTTATGTTGACTTTACCTGGTATGTGTTGAACGTCTTTCTCCCGAAAATGGATGGTATTAAGTTCCGTCTGAAATGTCCATCCCTGAAGTGCTCAGAACAAAGACGTTGGGTGGTCTTGTGTTTGTAATTTTTTTTTTCACCAATTTGAGCCGCCGAATCCAAGCTTTCTTCAATAATTCATTTGCTGGAAATCTATGTAGTGTCACTACCCGTCCTTCTATCTCCTTTCCTCCATAGTTGGAGCAGACGGTGCAGTAATGTCGCTGTTTCGTGTTCGTTCCGTTCATTTTCAAAAAAACATCTCCGGAAGTGAACGTCAAGCGCCGTTCTATCTCTTCTTGCGAAAGAGTTCTCAAGGGGGTATAATAAAGCAGGGGGGAGATAAGAACTTATTGGAAAGGTCTATAGATTTATAATGATTAAAAGTAAATTATAAACACCTGTCAACAAAGGACAAAACAGTTTAACTATAGAAGACGATACAATATATAAACAGGCTGAAGATCGCCAATAACTGAAGATAGAAATACTAGCGACCATGGGGACATAACGAGCTACCTGCATGGACCCTAGCTGGATTTACACCTTCCCTTCAGCCGCTGGCGATCGTAGGGAAATTAAGCCTTCACTTAAAAGAACAAATATACTTCGATTAAAACACTGATAGATACAAACATACCTTGAGCGACATGGACTTTCATACCCTCTCTGTCGTTTCAGTGATAGAAAATATTATGTTATCTATGTTATGGGGTACATTCTTGTACTATGGTCTTTGCAAGTAATGTTAAGAAAATATGAGTATGAAAGTTGTCCATGGCATAACAAATGGATAGTATTCCCAAAATCAATAAAATTATGAGTTTTTTATCACCAGCCCAAATGAGAGTAACACATAAACATGTTACATCTCCTGTATGACATAATGTATAGCAGCGCCAGACAACGTCTTTGGACACCAAGACCGTGCAAAATAGGGTTCTACCCACTACTCAAATACCAATTCAAACACTCCAAAGAAACATGCACACTGACAATACCTTATTGAGTCAGTTATGTGAAGATAACGAAAGCAGAAACCTATTAAGGTCTAACGTAGACTGACTGACTGACTGAGTTTAGTTTTACGCCGCTTTTAGCAATATTCCAGCAATATCACGGCGGGGGGACACCAGAAATGGGCTTAACACATTGTGCCCATGTGGGGAATCGAACCCGGGTCTTCGGCGTGACGAGCCAACGCTTTAACCACTAGGCTACCCCACCGCCCCTCTAACGTAGAAGCGGATGAGTATTGCTTTTTCAGCCTTCAGTAAGACGACTCTATTGTTAAAGCATTTTAACGGTTGGAAGTCAAAGTAGCAGGAAAACGACAGTAAAAGAGAAACAACAATAACAGGGAAATAACAGTTATATTTTCATAACCTATCATCAAACAAACATCATCCGCTGGATGTGGTTGAACGAAGCACTGATCGTGACAGCAATTTGGATCCACATACATATTACGTAACAAAATACTGTTTTTAGTGCAGTCGGGTAGGTTTTCCGATCGAAGTGCAGGTCCTAGCATAATTCCATATCAGCTACGGCTCCAAGTGAGTGAGTGAGTTTAGGTTTACTCCACTTTTTTGCAATATTCCAGCAATATTCACGGCGGAAAAGGGCCTCACACATTGTACCCAAGTGGGGAAACGAACCCGAGTCTTCGGCGTGATGAGCTAACGTTTTAGCCACTAGGCTACCCCATCGCCCCTAGGGCTCCAAGGCAGAATGTAGTAAAAGTACCAGTAGTAGAGATAATAGTAGTAGTAGCAGCAGTAGTAGTAGTGCAGGAAGAAAGCGAAAAGTTATGTAAACCCGATCCTAATATGCCATTAACTTTGATACCAAATTACCTAGAACCATGGAACTTATTCGTGCAAGGTTCATGAGCAATATTAGTGTGTTCTCTTTTGGATGCATTTTACAACCGTTAAGTATTTATGTATTTTATGACTTTTCCACGAACATTAATATATTGTGAACCGACTCTCATTAATCCATAATGACATAATCCGTGCTGGAAGAGCCAATGTATTATTCGGTTCTCTGTGTAGCAAAGAGATCGATAATAGATATGCACTTTAATAGTCAGGTCGCGTTAATCCCGAGCAGTGCCGAGCAGTGAAACGTTCGGTCCAGTACACCACACTGCAGTAGAGTTATTTCCCTTTCACTTGACTGATAGAGACAAAAGAACGTATACATGTATCAACTGACTTTATTACACATAACAACTTGGATATTTAAATAATAAAACATCAAATTTCATTGCACAAAAGAAATTCACACTGATGTAAAGGAATCACCAAGAAGAGTTTGTTTTGAAAGTGCCTTGAAAGAGGTACGCAGGTTGACAACGGTTTCCAAGTTTTTGTCATATGACGACCACGTGACGCATCTATCTATCAAACGATCTCAGCCAATCAGAAATCATCTACGATGTCATCCATGCCTTGGTGTTAAAGCTATATCGAACATACATTTCTGGATTGAAGTCACTTTCAAAACACCTGGGACGTACATGGTGAATGCTTTATCCTTCAAGTACAAGTAACGCTTGGAAACCCATACAGTTGTTTATAGCTATATTTTTATCTTAATTCCCTCATGTGTCATGTAGAGGTAAATACACGTGTGTACAACGAAGACTGACATATCTCCCGAAGGAACTGTGCGTGAGTGTTGTAGATTGTCGATGGTAATAACGGTAAGGAATTAGAACCTTCGATTAGTTATTGCACACATTTTACAACACTGAAGTGTGTGTGTGTGTGTTTTCCTCTACATAACAGCATCTACACCACAGAGACATTGAGTAGCTAATTAATCATAACACATTTTGATTTTTCAGAAATCAGACAATGCTGATCGGAACAGATATGCTCATATTTGGAACACTGACTTTAAACATTGTTGCGTCGGCGACTACGATATGTACAGATCCCAGCAAATTTCCTTTTGTAAAATACAATTTGAGGCTACCAGGTTTCAGCTACGTTTCCATGTCTACAGAGGGACTTTTCAAATGTGTTGCGAATTGTCTGAAGAGAAAGTGGTGCAGATCCTTCAATTATGACCTCACACGTGGAGACTGTGAATTAAATTTCGCCTCATTGTCACTCGGAAGTATCAACGACACTCATCTGGAGCGAGCGAGTGGGTTTGTCTTCTCGGAAATCACACACTGGCCACAGGTACATGTACCCCTTTTCTCAACCTATGTTCAAGACCGTATGGCAGGTCGTTTTCACATTTTTTAAGCAATATATCTTCAGTTGTTTTAAAGAGTGAGTGAGTGAGTTTAGTTTTACACCGCACTCAGCAATATTCCACCTATATGGCGGCGGTATGTAAATAAGCGAGTCTGGACCAGACAATCCAGTGAGCAACAGCATGAGCATCGATCAGCGCAAGTGGGAACCGATGACATGTGTCAACCAAGCCAGCGAGTCTGACCACCCGATCCCGTTTCGATAAGCATGGGTTGCTGAAGGTTAATTCTAACCCGGACCTTCACGGTTGTGTTTTAAAGATATCTGTATTCTATTTAAAATTATCAACACTGTTTTAAAGATATCGGTATTTAATTGAGGACATATTAATTAATTTTTGGTATCCAAATAGAATTACAATGTACTGATATCACAAAATGTTACGGAGATATGTCATGATATCATGATAAATGCGTTTTATCAATAAAACAAGTGTAAATAGTGTAAATGCTTGCATTAGGAATTGATTGAAGCTATTTCAATTCAGTTAGAGATATTCTTTATGCGATTATAGATATCTTCAATTCTTGCTATTACTGATATCTAAAATGAAGTTAAATAAAAAAATTAATGCTTTTGAAGATATCTTTAAATCAGTTATTGATGTCTATAATACAAGTAAAAGGAAAGAATGGCAATTATACTGCAAAAGGAAATTTAATACTCTACATATCTATGTTATAGCCGTATCTAGATCCAGTGCAGCGCTCACGCCATTCTCGCACAACGTTGACTTTTCAGATCTTATGAAAATGTGCATCCAAGGGATTAAGTGTCCTGTGCACTGTGTTGTGAATTGATAAATCTGCTTGACCCTATGAACACATCTTTTTGTAGTGATATGTATGATATCCTCTCTACAAGGAAAAGCTGTACATTATGACATAAAAGCCGATAATGACCTTATACATTCAGTGTGATCCGCCCAAAGTGCAAGCGTTCGAAACGGGAGGCGGGAGTGAGTATTTTGGGTACCGGTAATGAAGAACATCCACATAAACGGACTAGAAAACTTATGTAGGTCACGATATGGCTGAAATATTGCCGATGTGACTGTAAATCTTAACTCACTCACTCACTCACTCACTCACTCACTACTTGAATGTGTGATCTTTCTAATATTAGACAACGTTTCTATGATGATTTTCTACTTTAAGTGAACTTTTTAGAAATGTTTCCAGCCGCTTGATTTTAGCGTATTTGAAAGAAATCAAACTGTATTGAAAAAATGTAGAATTTTAAAATCAGAGATCAGTTTTTTACTTTGAGTGTGATATAGGACTGATAGTTTAGTGATTTTCAAAATCACTTTTATTTTGTTCAGCTTATAGTGTAAACTATAAGACATTTTCTCGGCGCGAATACCTGTAAAATTGTTGATGAGGCTATAAGTAATACTCACTCACTCACTCGCTTGACTGTTTTCGACCGATTCGCGCCTCGAGTTGCACATGGTCACCCGCCATTTTCGAAACCGGACGTATTTAGCGTTATGTAGCAGGAAGTACTTAAAGACATCTTGAAATCGTTTTGAATATCTCTACTCTAGATATGATCAATTCAAGATACCTTTAAAACAATTTAAGGTGTCAGTAATTTCTCAATACATTATCTCCATTTAATATATATTTAATTCAATTGAAGATATCAGCAATTCCTTTCAAGATATCAATTATATGCATTATCATATCCTTTATTCATTCGCGATATCATGAATTTTATTGCACATATCTATAAGTATCTCTATTTGAAATATCTTCAATTCAATTCAAGATATCTCTATTTTCATTCAAGGTATCTTTAAAACAATTTAAGATATCAGTATTTCTTAATATATGTGAAAACGGTTTGCCATAAGACCGGCCGAAAGTGGCCTATTGTGTGCCCATACTAGAAACCACTAGTTTCTCCAGCTCAGTGTCGATAGTATTAACCACATAAATACATTTTTGCCTGCGTAAAACAAGAACACAACAAACTTCCATGCGTACAAACCGACTTTCCAGGACGAAACAATTCAAAGAAGTAATCGTGATCGACATCATAAGAAATGTTCGATATCACACATCGTGCATATGGAATGAGCTCTCATTTCCAAACCATTGCAGGTGTTAGACAAGGTTCCAAACATCTGAAATTATCCCATGTCTTTTTTGCAGAAAATGGCTGGTGCGTGTGCGAATCACAACTGTACAACAGAAAGCGAATGCGAAGAGATCGACAAAAGTCATTTCAGGTGTATCGGATATGGTAATACATGTAATATATATACTGGATTCAGGGTCACACCCTAATACATGCCAGAAATCTATTGATCATTTGTCCGAATTGTATTTCGACTAAAATATGTTTCTATGTATGTTAGTATATATTATATGTACTTGATCATGCGTTCAAAACTACGGTAAGACATGTGTCAATTCAGAATCTCCACACACACCTAACAGACAATAGTCGCAGAGATACTGTTTCAAAAAGTATTTAACCATCTTCAAGTACTCACCTTCTAGTTAACGAGGGTTATGTAGCCTTATGGTTTACGTGTTGTTCTGTCCCGCCAAACACTAATGCTGAACACGTTTGTAGCCCAGTCTATGTGTCGCCGTGCGTAATTTAGCAGAACTTTGATATGTAGATATATGGAGTCCTGTATACTGCAAGGTTTTGAATAAATACTATGTACTATACACAAAGAACTTAGTAATATATTCAACATTAAACATTCCAGGGTCATACTTCTCCAGACATGATTTGTATGAAAATCAGTATGTTTGTTTAATGGGCAAGTGTGTGTTTTTTAAATGAGCAATTACCATCATAAAATCAATGTGGATCATTTTGTCGTTTGTTTGAGTCAAAGGATCATACGGGTCAGAAAAAAACATGTTTTTTCCATCGTGGTCACCACGAGAAGTTTTATGTACGTATTGAAAACCTATCATTGCAAAAATACAGGGGGTGCTTAATTCAGTTTTTCATGTATATTATGTTTTGGATATATGCTGGATAATATTTCTCTCTCTCTTTCTCATAGCATCATCATGTGGAAAAGTAAAAGAATGTGACCCATCAAGCCCTGATGGTGAGTACTGGCTTCGCCTGCCGAACTTTGGTCTGTACAGAACCCGGATCTACTGTCACAACATGAACACCAGCAACCCCGTGGAGTACCTGACACTGCCCACTCCTAACTATGGAATTTATCCGAAGTTGTCGAATCCCATCTGCGCAGGTGAAACAGGCCTCACTTTCAGCTGTGTCGGACAAGGAGGGGGGAGGTGTGGTACAACAAGATTAGAGTGAAAATAGAGGTGAGACTTTTGTAATGACCTTTTAAGGACGTCTATAAGTCATTGGGTGCTTCCTGCCCGACACATGCGTGTCAGTTTCAGACTTTGTCAGCTGGCACAAATGTGGTTGCTTGGGTGTCTGATAGTCGGGATAAGTGTGTCTCCTTGATTCTGCACTGTAGGACATGAATGTCTGATTGTGCTCATGGTCTCTGGTATGGTGATCTACCTTCAGTTGTTGGCAATACATAGCCTGTTTTTATATTGTATTGTCTTCTGTAATTAAGCTGTTTTAGAGTTACATACTAGTTTTATATTCATATCTGTGATATTCTACTAGATAATTCACTTTTTCTAAAATTATTACTTGTTTTTAATCACGATATGGCTGAAATATTGTCGATGTGACTTTAAATCTTAACCCATTAATGCCCAATTTTTTTTTCGGAGTAACTTTGTTATGATATATTCAAACATGGTTTGAAATGAACATTATCAAGTCTGATTATAACTAAAAACTATTGTTTTGTCATTTAGCGCAGAGAATTGCCCTGTCCCATTAATGGGACAGTGGGTACGAAATACCGAACACATGTATGAATAAAAGTAGATAAGAACATAAACTTTAATTGAAGTGAACTGAGAGTTGTATGTAAATGACTTGGCATCATTATTAGGACTTGCTATTGAACTAAAGAAACGAACAAAAGTCCTTTTCTGGTAGCATGAAAGAGTTCATATCAATTGCGTCTTGGACAAACCTTACTTTGTACGGGACTGTACAAAGCAACTATCATGGAGACCTACTCTGCATTTGGTGCAGCGACGCATGGTTTTCATTCCACACGATGCACACCTGTGTTGGCAAGCTCTGAACTAAGTGATCAACTCGATCATATCTGACACGATTGACGTGGGACAAGATTGACAAGTGATGTAGTACATCTTAACGACCAGGACTAGCAAGTGAAGATTGAGCTTGAGCTCGTGCTCTACCTGGACTACCTCGCAGCGGATTGCAAGCAGATCCAACGGCTTGTCCCTTCTTGCTGGGATAGCTCTGTAAAGATGCCAAGCTTGTTGAACACCGAAACCAAACAGTAAGCGAATATAGGCCACCACTTTGCAACATTTGATCTCTACGACCAACTCCTCCCATGGTTTGATTGTAGTGACGGATCACAAAGGCTTGTTCAACAGCTACTTGTTTTGACTCAGCTCTCGACCATCTCTTTGCTCTCTGAAGTGGCTGGACACCAAACTTGTTTCAGACAACTTTGACTATGTTGTTGTCATTCCATCTGACAACTGAGGCCTGACTCGATGTCTGTTTGGTCATATGTCCCTCTGGCTGTCTTTATATAAACGGCCATATTCGTCTTGAAGTTCTGCTATCATATCAACCACAACAGATCCACCCATGCCAAGACCTGGGCATTCCGCCTGTCACCCTCTAACACCTTGATAAGGCTCAAACTGTGAGACATATCCCATAGGAAAAACCCAGACCTCTCACGTCCACTGTCCCATTATTGGGACAATATTCAAACGCAGTTTTACATAATAATAATCCATTGCAAAACAATTCTGGCAGAAATATATTCAGTTTATGTCCAAAACATCATTTGTTAATCATTTGTCACATTTAGAAGTAATACAAAACATAATGGCATACTTTCATTTTTATGTGCGGCATATTTCGGTATTATGTCAGTCTCAACTGCTGGTGTATAGTGAAATAACTCAAGACAATTGCTGGACTGAAACTACTTCTCTTTAACCATTAGTCCCATAACTGGGACAGGGGTCACTTGTAAACAATTATAGGTAATGAAGAACAAATGTGTCCCCAAATTGTGATCGTGGGCAATAATGGGTTAACTAACTCACTCACTCACTCAGGTTGCTGGCCCAAGAATGTCTGTGCTAATCTCAGCAGGCCGGCACTAGTATGCCTGCTTTACTGTATCTTAGCCTGTCACAAGTTATTTATTTTTGTAGTCTGCTTGTTGACGCAGCTGTATCTTTTGTATTGAATGCTAGCCGCCCTAATATGTTTGTCTCTGTCTGCTAGCCGACACAAGTATGTACTAGGTTTGACTTCATAATGATGAATTTGTCATATGTGTCTGTGAGATTTAGACAAAGCAATTAAGCGCCAGAAGCTTAAATGCAGTTCACAATCTCGGTACCAGCCTGAGGACATTTTAAGTTAACACTGTGGTTATGGCTCGTTGTAAATACTTGCTTCTGACATGTAAACACAAGTAACTCACAAACGGTTCGAATGTCAGTGTAATGTAAATCTTAAGAACACACAACACGACAGCATTTTATTATTACAGAACATGGAGGTTGAGCGAAACGACGTAACTTTTGCCAACTTGACCAACTACAAGATACACTATGCAGAGGCCATAGACTGCTATTCACGCCATGAGAATGGCGTTGTCAGCTCGTGTGGAACCAGGGGTGAATTTACCGTGAATCTCACAGGGACAGGATGGGCAGTAAGAGCTGACGTGAGCACTCACATATTGATTTTCCAAATACACATAAGTAAGATATGCCATATGCAGAACGACGATATGCATGTGCACACGATCATCTTGCTTCAATAAGCACTAAATGTGTCCAAACTCGATAAACCAAATGTTAGAAATGCATTTGCAAGAGAATCATACAGGTCAATAAAATACTAATCCAATTCTCCTTTACCAGATATTCGACCCTTGGGAATCGTCCCATCTCCTAAAACCATCCCATCCCATCCCATCCCACCATGATACGATACTATGGTCAGGCTCCCTGAATTGCTTCATTGCATATCGTCTTAAATGAGTAGATCAATGTTCATGATTGGATTGTCTGGAACATACTCGATTATTTACAGACAGTCGTCAAATATCTGTAATATTGCTGGCAGTGACGTTAAGCCACAAACCGTTGCATGTAAATTTCGAAATGTCGAGAACCCGTGAAGGTCCGGGTTAGAATGAACCTTCAGTAACTCATGCTTGTCGTAAGAGGCGACTAACGGGATCGGGTGGTCAGGCTCGCTGGCTTGGTTGACACATGTCATCGGTTCCCAATTGGGCAGATCGATGTTCATGCTGTTGATCACTGGATGATTGTCTGGTCCAGACTCGATTATTTACAGACCGCCGCCATATAGGTTGACTATTGCTGAGTGCGGCGTAAAACTAAACTCACTCGAAATGTCCAGTCATGTCAGTCGCCTTGTTGCTCATCGAATTGTATACACGATTATTCGGTCAAGATGTTAATGTTACAGAAATTTCATTATGTCCTGTTTATTTTGTTACACAGCAATCATGGACAGTTGTTGGCTGGCGAGCTGTTATAGAATCCATTGTTCGGAGTGGGACTGGATCCGTCGTTCATTTGAAGTGTGGTGGACGGCGCGGACATTGTCATCCCACAGACGCCTTAACCCTGACAGTTCTGCAGACTGAAGGTAAGCAAGCAACAGGTTGGTGCCACCTGGACCCAAGAAAGGGCACATGTACATGTATTCCCAATGAACACATCGTATAGCGAAGGCTGCAAATATACTGAGTCAAAAAAGAAACTTCACATTCTTTCTTCAGGGCACTATAAAAGAACAAGAGATGGTAAGATGGTTAAATTGTTATTATTTCATTGCTGAGATCTGTGTGATGTACTCGATACACTGACAGTGCCATAATCAGTTCCATTAGGCTACACCGCCGTTCCAAAACATGGGTATACAGACTGTTAAGTCACAAGAATAAAAATGCGAAATTTCTCAGTTCAATATCGTGTATGGCCGCCCCGCGCATTCACCACTGCCAAACACCGTCTCCTCATCGACTGCCTGATGCTTGTGAACACGTGGTTGGGGATTCTGCGCCATTGCTCTTGCAAGGCAGCGCCAAGTTCCTGCAAATTCTGAGGTTGGTTCCTAAGACCACGAAGCCTTCTCCAAAGTATATCCCAAACGTGCTCTATTGGATTACGGTCAGGGGACCTCGATGGCCAGTCCATCACGTTGATTCCAGCGTTTTGAAGGAAATTTCGTGTCAACATCGCGGTATGCGGCCGAGCATTATCATGCTGGAACTGTAGACCTGGGCCATGAGCCGCCATGAAAGGAACGAGTTCAGGGGTGAGCACCTGGTCGCGGTAAGCAGCAGCTGTGAGGTTTCCACGGATGACCAGAAGTCGGGAACGGTTGTTCCCACAAAAAGCACCCCACACCATGCAACTTCCGCCCCCGAATCTGTCGACTTCCTGTACACAACATTGGGCATACCGTCCACGACGTCGTCTCCAGACTCTATGCCTGCCGTCCGCGAATCTGAGGGTAAACCTTGATTCATCGCTAAAGACGACTGGATTCCAGTCTCTCTTGGTCCATCGGAGGTGACGTTGGGCCCACAGCAGACGTTGACGTTGATGAAACGGCGTCAATATTGGCCCACGATATGGACGTCGAGAATAGAGATTGGCAGCCCGCAACCGATTTCGAATGGTCTGTGAGGACAGTCGACTTCTAAACATCTCAGCCCTGGTTCGTGACGATTTGACGGTCTTCTGCTCGTGACGTCACACGTGGACGACCCGACCTTGGGCGATCAGAAGTGGTGCCAGTTTGTTGTAGACGACCTCGCAAGTCATACACAGTACGACGGCTGCATCCCATTGCATTTGCGACGTTAATAACTGATCTTCCCGCTTGCAACATGCCAACGGCACGTTCACGTTGCACATTTGACAATCGTGGCATTTCAAGTACCGTTAGAACTGTGGTTTAAAAGTGTTTTTTTTAATTCTTGAGGCCAATGCAAACACGTGCATATGAAGAAAAGTTCGATGCAAAGATCACGTGATCGACTGCACGTGCAAAACCTGATTTGGCACTAACGTCATTTGCACGACGAATGGATGGGTTTGAGTGGGTTTTGCTAACGTTTTTTCTAGAGTCGAAAGATAGGGATCCCATTTCGGATACATAGATGTATCATGAGAGAAAAATTATTCATTATTTTTCAAATTTCATTTTGTGAAGTTTCTTTTTTGACTCAGTATATGTAGTTGATAAGATGCCCCTGTTGTACAACACGTTTATCTCTTATATTAGGAGTGAGTGAGTTAATGCTCGGTAATATTTCAGCCATATCGTGACGAGAACATTTAATTGTTATGCATACTCATTTATGGTAAATTATAAAAACATGTCATCGACTAGAATATCACAATATCAAGAAATAAAACTAGCATATATCTCTAAAATAGGATTTCAGATTAGGACAATACAATATTAAAAAGGCTGAGGATCGCCAACAACTGAAGGTAGACCACCACTCTAGGGACTCTTATATTGGGAACTATAGTGGTCCGATCGTCTCATTGAATTCTTAATGGTTATGATGGTTTGAATTACCATGCTCGTTGGTTCATCATAATGGTAACTCGTCTAAGACTTGCAGCACTTCCGGTTTTCCTCCCACTTAAAGCTGACATGCCCTGATGTAACTCAAATAATGTTCAAAGTAACTTAAATCAAAACTCTGATTGTAATAATTTACCATACTGAATTAAACAATATCGCAACATACAGTATTTTTCATAGTACCAATATGCTACCATTGACCAAAGGAAAGGGACTCAATGCCCTGCAATATCCCTCAATGACATACCAGCATTCCACATTCCAATAACTTGCCATCTTTGAGCAGCACTTGTCAGTAGAAGAGGAGTCATATTTGCTTATCTACAACGAAACCAAATGGTTTTCCATGTTATCGAGCAGTAACAATAGTTTACTTTGATAAACTTTGATATTTGCTTAATGACGGGTACACGCATTGCAGGTGCTGCTCTTAATTGATCGTAGTTTGTGCATATCTAAAAATCAATGTATGACATAATTATGCCCGAGGGTTCAAAACAATCCTATAATTAAACATATGTATGACCTGAATATGCATGACAACACGGAGTTACAATTTAGAAGTGTTGCGTTACTTTTACCACGTGTATGGTATGGTTGAATCGGTTCATGCTAACCATTGTATATTGCATGGTTTCTCTTTAAATATCAGTACACACGTTCACGTTTCTCATTAATTGACTTGATAGATGTGATTCAGGAGAACAAATCCCTTGAGACATCGTGTTACAAGAAACAATGGGACTGAGAAAGTTTGAATGATATCATGATACCGACATTTAGTCGCTTTAGAATCGACGTCTTGGTCTTCCACTAGACTGGCAATAGGTCCAAATGCATTTTGCAAAACGTTTCGAGAAAATACTCCTTTGAACCTACGTAGGTGCAACTGGAAGGGAAAATACAGTTTTAAAGGCATTAAAAATATTCTTTGAAGATTTTGTTTCAAATATAGTGGTAAGTTATTATGAGATAACATTTTTTAGACAAATGTTGCCCACCGAATACTCAGTTCCATAGGATACATTCGTATGATAAAGTATCTCAGTCGTGTTACAAATAGTCATTTGGATTTTGAAATGGAAGGCCCGTCAAAGATTCTTATGTTATTGAAAAAACACATGAGAACTACCCAAATCTAAACCAGTAAACTGTTTACAGTTATCAATGCACACGTCCAAAGACATTGAAGAAGGATCCACACGTGTGCTTGATTTTATCTTAAGAACAGCTCATTGGAACGAATGTTACTATTTAGCTGCACAAACAGCATGAACGTCAGTTTTAGTATGTGGCCCTCACTATATGAAGGTTGACGCTACGATCAATTCACTCAAAGGCAGTTTTATCTCCATGGATTGTATCTGGATAGATGTTTACACAAATATTCGTTAAACCTGTCTCTTTACACCAACAACCATTACAAGCAGTATCGAGGGGAAATATTTTCAGATCGAGAGATGAGAACATGTTTGCTCAAACTGCTGCTAAGCAACCACCTTGATAATGTTATATGCTGCAATAAACGTATTTTCTTGACAAATATAGCAAAGAAAGCAATGCATTCTATATTATGAAAATAATGATACATGTTATACGTATTCAGTTATATAGATGGAAGGTAGGTTGAACCAAAGATGACTAGATTGCATGTAAGAATAGTAATGACTCATAACACGTTTTTATTTATAGAAATGTAGCCTGTCACTGCAGATAAATCGATCTTTTTCAAGGTACTCATGAGTTCAAAACAACGAGGTTTCTATAGATGTTGAATGAATAATACAAATGTGACAGTTAAGTCCTCTTCCTTGCAGCTATTGAAGAATCGTCAGCCACAGAAGTGAAATGCTATTAGCGAGGAAGACAATGATTGTACTGTGAATCTAATCCATGCCTGTGTGGCTCAGACTACTTTTCCCATTATTGAGTGAATAAAATGACAGACAACGTTTGCATATTACATGTACAAATACTCACATGAGTGCAATAGTTATTTATTAGATATGCACATATCTCTGAAACGTTTCTTTGTTGTAGTGTACACGTCCGACAGGTAAAAAGTGTATGAAACCTTTTGGCGCTTCGCATAAGGTTTTACACGTGTCGGTTATATTTAATATAATGTCTTTCCATGTGTTTCTATCGTGTAATATGAAAAAGTGTTATTGATTTGTATGTATTGTTGCTGTAACATCGGGTATGAAATATTCTAAGTAGACAAGGAATGTTTAAATGATTTTTCAAGAGTAGATTGTGTTAACCATTTTGTAAAATACCATCATGCAAAATTTTACGAGGCATTACACTCTTGAATTTTACGAATCATCATTTACACAGTTGACAGTTGTTATATGCACTTTGAACCATGTGTAGTACAGCACACATCAAACACATATTTTTCCAGCAGTGACTGAAGCAGAAATTAAATAACATTCAGAAAATAACCATTTACGGTGGAAAAGTGTTTACGAAGCTGTTTCAAATTAGTGTAATGTGAGTTATGAGCTCTCTCTTAATTAAAGGTAGTGTAATCTTGCCTAATCTTTCTTTGTTACCTTTTATGTGATAATATGCAACTATGGTTCAACTGTTATGATTCGTAATTAGGAAAATAATTAATTACTCACCAGGAAGAACAATAAAAACATTCTAGAGCCTAAATCTATTTCACCGGAACAACATGATGACTGGGTAGATAAGTGACTAAGAATACGAATATGTAACAGCCTGATGAAACTATATAACCTGTCTTCGTATTGCATTATACAAGATGTCCCCCTAAATGGTTAAATACTCATCAGGGTCCCAGTTGAACGTTCACTTGCTCCGTTTTTCACCTTTTCTATTAACAGGCTTCAAGTTTGGTTGTTACCTGCTGTCATTAAGGGTTTTTATTTAACCATCTAACATTAATGTGCTTGTTGCAAGATTTACATCCACAACTGTCGGGGTTTGTTCATCTGCAGGACATTTTCCCCCATTCCATCTTGTGCTCTGCAGCATGTATTTGGTTACATGAAACAGCATTAGACGCCAGGGTCTGTATATGATAGGACACATTAAAGCGTGATTATGTTCGATCTGGTTTTCCAGACTTTGTAACAAGCATAAGTGTCGAAGGCACATGTACATGTTCTAGTCCGTAAGAAAAATCCATTATAATCATCTTAGCCGCAGTTCATGTGAATAATTGCATGATCAGATATTATAAAACGTCTGCCAATGGGAGGATTCCAGAGTAAAGTAATATCAAGGAATGGTTTGTTGTGTTTATTGTGAAAATTATAGCAGAATTGCGGTAGAAAACACCAGAATTTTATGACCTGTCATCATCCCCTTGGGAATCTCAGATGCCATATGTACTGGAAACACTCTTACAGCATGACAACTCTGTAGTGCAAGATTGATACAGGGTTTTTTTGCCCATCTTCTACGGTCATCTTGCTCACCAGACATAAGGCAGACAGAACACCTGTGACACTTGTGGATCAATGGATCACGACGCATCCTCATCGACCACAGAACCGTCAACCGATTGAAGCCAAACTCAAGGATGAATCACCGCGGATTCACAAAGACGTTTTCGGGTGACTAACGACAATGTTGAAACGAGTCCTACATTTCTTGGTTGTCATTATCTTTATGAATATCTGGCATCTGTGAAGCACAACGTTTTTTCCTCTGCTCGGCTAATTATTGTCAAATTACGACCCCGTGTTCCTCGAGACGTCATGTGTAAGTCACCCGTTGTGAAACGCATGACTGACATGAAGCATGTAATATCGCCAATGATTCCTGCATCCAGAATATCCAGAAACCAGTTCATGTTCATTCTTGTAACAAGAACAGACCTTTGTTGAGATAACTATCTTTCAACTTCAAGCTCGTGGCACTCGCCAGATGAAAAAAGGAAATATCGTCAACTGGAGGAGGCACTGGATATGTATAAGAGACAATTTTAAGGGGACAGAAATCTTCTGTACAGTACCTGGATGCAGTGTCGCATCTTACTGGTTATTGATATGTATCATTATTGTGTATACATGTATAATGTTATGAATTTCAGAATGTCATGTTTTAAAGCATTGTTAATTAAATGCAGTATTAAACTATTGTAAAAATTTGTTATCCTTTTAACCTTTTTGACCCTTATAAAGATATAACCTTATATTACTCCTACTTGTCCGGTATTCAACTTTCCAATACAGACTATAGTCGGTACATCAAAGACAAGACGGTAATCCCCTGTCCGGGATTATCTGTCGGCACATCAAACAAACCGGACAGGTGGGACTAACCCCGTCGAACTTACGGGACTACGCCAAGAGATTAACAATCCTAACACCACACCTTGACAACTGCATAAACAATAACGACAACTCAGCTCAGTCAGAGAAACAATAAGACCTAATCCCAACAACAACAAAATGGCATTAAGGTTGAGCCCTGAAGTGCCCTTTTTATAATTTAGTCCTGTCGCTGTGACAACTACCTATATCAGAAAGCTAGTGGAAAACAACTAGCTAGCTAGAAGGCCAAGTGATGTGGTTAACTCCATTTATTATTAAGAAGTAAACGCAATGAGTAATCAATTAAGGAACACAAGTGCCACGAGGGACACATCAAAACACATCTCTGCTTGATGGATCATCTAGGATCTAACTTGATGGAACAACAGACACTACGCAAGTTGCGTGACACTATTCATATGTTGTATAAACTAAGAATTCATAGAGCACGAGAATCAAGTCAGTATAACTGCTCTAAAGCGCTTTGAGACGAAGCATGTCACATGTATGTCCACTGTGTCTTAGAGAAAAGGTGTGTTTTCACATTAGTTATTGACAAGCCTCAGTTTTAATGGCAGCTCCATGACTCTGGCGAAGGATCGATCTCCTTTGGTGGTGTTCCTTGCATGTGGAACACACAGAATGCCTTTTCCAACGGATCTAAGAGACCTCTCGGGCTTGTACTCCTGGAGGAATTCCTGGAAATACACAGGGGCTAGACCTGTCCTTGATTTGAAGGTTAACAACACTTTATAAGTGATTCTGGATGCCACCTCCAATCAATGAAGTTTCTTTAGCACTGGAGAAATATTGCTGTCTTTCTTTGTCTATGTCACAATTCTAGCTGTACAATTCTGAACGCGCTGCAGCTTTGTTATGAATTTCTTTGGTAATCCAAGGAGAAGAGTGATCATTACAGTGATCTACATGGGAGACAACACAGCCCAAATTAGAGATGTTACGGTCTTAAGATTTATAAATCTATTATGTTTGCATTCTTTGTTTACATGGGACTCGGCATTCATAGCTGTGTCAAATACAAATCCCAGATTTCGTGTTTCTTTGCTTGGTTCAATGATGAAACCTCCAATTTCAAAGGCGAGCAGGGCAAGTTGGACATACTGGTGGCTGCTAGAAGACAGTAACATTGACATACTAGAGCTGCTAGCAAACACTAAAATGGACATACCAGGGGATGCTCGCTGTCAGTAAAATGGACATACTGGGGCTGCGAGCTGACAGTAAAATGAAAATATTAGAGGCTGCCAGCTGACAGTAAAATGGAAATACCGAGGCTGCCAGCTGACAGTAAAATGTACATACTAGGGGCTGCAAGCTGACAGTAAAATGGAAATACTAGGGGCGGCTAGCTGACAATAAAATGGAAATACTGGGGGCTGCTTGCTGACACCAAAATAGACATACTGGGGGCTGCTCGGTATCAGTAAAATGGACATACTGGGGCTGCTAGCAGACAGTAAAATGGACATACTGGTGGCTGCTTGCTGACAGTAAAATGGACAGACTATGGGCTGCTAGCTGACAGGAAAATGGACATACTAGCGGCTGCTAGCTGTCAGTAAAAGGAAATACTTGGGGTTGTTTGCTGACACCAAAATCGACATACTAGAGGCTGGTAGCTGACAGTAAAATGGAAATACTGGGAGCTGCTTGCTGACACCAAAATGGACATAAAAGAGGCTGCTTGCTTACAGTAAAATGCACATACTGGGGGCTGCTAGCTGTCAGTAAAATGGAAATACTAGGGGCTGCTAGCTGACAGCACAATGGACATACTAGAGACTGCTTGCTGACAGCACAATGGACATACTAGAGACTGCTTGCTGACAGTAAAATGGCCATACTATGGGCTGCTACCTGTCAGTAAAATGGAAATACTGAGGCTGCGCGCTGACAGTAAAATGGCCATACTGAGGTTGCGAGCGTACAGTAAAATGACCATACTGAGGCTGCGAGCTGACAGTAAAATGGCCATACTATGGGCTGCTACCTGCCAGTAAAATGGAAATACTGAGGCTGCGCGCTGTCAGTAAAATGGACATACTGAGGCTGCGAGCTGACAGTAAAATGGACATACTAGAGACTGCTTGCTGACAGTAAAATGGCCATACGATGGGCTGCTACCTCTCAGTAAAATGGAAATACTGAGGCTGCGCGCTGACAGTAAAATGGCCATACTGAGGCTGCGAGCTTACAGTAAAATGGACATACTGGTGGCTGTGTGCTGACAGTAGAATGGACAGACTAGGGGCTGCTAGCTGACAGTAAAATGGACATACTAGCGGCTGCTAGCTGTCAGTAAAAGGAAATACTTGGGGCTGTTTGCTGACACCAAAATCGACATACTAGAGGCTGGTAGCTGACAGTAAAATGGAAATACTGGGGGCTGCTTGCTGACACCAAAATGGACATAATAGAGGCTGCTAGCTGACAGTAAAATGCACATACTGGGGGCCGCTAGCTGTCAGTAAAATGGACATACGAGGGGCTGCTAGCTGACAGCACAATGGACATACTAGAGACTGCTTGCTGACAGCACAATGGACATACTAGAGACTGCTTGCTGACAGTAAAATGGCCATACTATGGGCTGCAACCTGTCAGTAAAATGGACATACTGAGGCTGCGCGCTGACAGTAAAATGGCCATACTGAGGTTGCGAGCGTACAGTAAAATGACCATACTGAGGCTGCGAGCTAACAGTAAAATGGCCATACTATGGGCTGCAACCTGTCAGTAAAATGGACATACTGAGGCTGCGCGCTGACAGTAAAATGGCCATACTGAGGCTGCG